TGAAACCGTCGTAAAAAATTACAATAGGATGGCCGCTCTCAGGTTTCTCTCTGGTATTACAAACAGCAGTGAACAAACGTGAGGTAAGTTAAAAATATATCATATAAATTAATTTAATGAATGAATAAATCATATAGCTTATAAAATGATCAAACAATTGTAAATTCAATNCAATTTTTTATTTGTGTACTATTTATTTATTTTTGTTTGCAGACACAATGCCATCATGCTGTATAAAAAATTGTAAAAGTCGAACATTTTACACGGATACAAAAGGAATAACATTTTTTAGATTTCCAAATGAGAAAAATATCCGTAAGTTATGGATAAATGCTTCTGAAAGGAGTGAAGGGAGCATTAAAATTGATTCTGGTAAGTTAATATAATAAACATATTTTATATAGCAAAAGTTGTCAATATAACTTACAATATAATGTATTGTTTATAATATGATCTTATTATAAAAATAATGAAATTGTACAGAATGAAATATAATTTTATCAAGAATATGCAGTCTTCATTTTGATGATGCTTACTTTATAACGCAATGGACACAACCACACTAAACAAAAACAGCAAAACAATTGCGGCGGCTGAAAGTAGGTTCTATTCCTACGAAAATTGTATGAAAAAAAAGAAAACAATTAAATAAAATATGTAATGTAGAAGGCGATGGCACGAAATGCCGGAGATTCCAGGTTCGACTCCTGGCCGAGGAGTTTTTTTCGCAATATTTTAAAAATTAGTTAGAGGGGTATCCGGGGTTTTTCATATGTGAGATGCAAATCCAGCATCCCGTATGATTTTAAGAATTAAGATTTCAATTCAAAAAAATACTTGTAAAAATTTACAAGTAGAATTCGTTACATTTATATATATTTATATATACTACTGTGTCCAAAAAGTAAGGTGACATTGCATTTTAAATCTCCCGCGTGCACGGATTTGGAAGAATAAAATTTTTTTGAAGTTGGTAGGACTGTCTTTGACATCCAAGAGAAGTAACACGTCAAAATATCTATTAGTGTTTGAGATACGCATTGTTTTGTGAGCTGCTAAAAGTGAATTTCTTGTTTTTTGCCATGTCTATATTTGTTGAGCAAAGAATTTGCATTAAATTTTGTTTGCAGAATCAAATTTCTGCTGCAGAATCGTTGCGGATGCTGCAGAATGCCTTTGGCAATAAGGTTATGTGAAAAAAAAATGTTTACAAGTGGTACAAAGACTTCCATGAAGGTCGAGAACGTGTTGAAGACGAGGAGCGTTCTGGGCGACCATCAACCGCAACCGACGAAGCT